CTTTGGTGTAGCGAGCGCGGAAACACCTTCAAATCAAAATTTGATCGGTTTAGTGAAGAGAAAATCTAGAGAGAAGACAGAGAGAATTTTAGGGCAAGGGTTTTAGAGAGAGAAAGAAAGATGGCAAAATGAAGGAATTTTGATCTTTAGGAAACCCCTTCCTAAGGTCATGGGTCCTTAGCTTATGGACTGAATGCCTCAACATAAGGTCCAATAGCCTTATTATTTTCAAGCTCTTACACTCATCATAGGTTTAATTTTTAGTTCAATTTTCCAAAATCAAAATTTGTTTTTCTAGGCGAGGTGAGAAGCGAATTTCTTTTAATACTTTTTACTATGGCAAACTACTATGATATTTAGTGGTGGATCTCCAAACATATGTTAAGGGTGTCTAAATTGATGTACACAAAATTTTTAGAGTGTCAAATGCATAATGTAGTAAATGATGAAAATTTTGTCATGCTACTTAACTTTTAAGAAATTTATATTGATATTTAATAATAATTTATTATAAAACAACTTATTTTTTTGACATTTGAATCATTAAATATTTATTAATTTCTTTTATAATAGAATGACATTATAAGAATAATATCTTATGATTATTTTATTTCTTATGGTAGTTGTTATTATTTCTTGATGGATAGTTGTTATCAAAATATGTTAAAATTTACGAGTCAATCATTTCCAGGATTCAAATTTGAGTTGGATTAGAAAAATATTGCAAATTTTGGAATAACAAAAATTAACTCGGTCTATTGTAAATTTGGCTTACTCAAGTTGAATTTGTAGTGAGTCGAATTGATTCACCAACACACTCATAAATTTTAAATATTAAATTATATTAAAAAAAAAAATCTAAATGCTTCCCTATTAAATGTATTTAGATTATATTGTACTTTTGTAATTTTGATTTGTATTTGAAGTTTAATATTATTTTAGATTGCATTTAGATTAAATTTTATTTATATTTCAATTATAAGAAAATTGTAATGTTTTTTTAGATTGAAAAGAAAAATTTGTAATTAAGTGAGCCAACCATTTAATCTATCAATTTATAGTTAATTAGATGGAGTATAAATTTTTTAAATTCACTAGTAAATTGAGTTAGCCCAACCTGTAAAGTACAATTTATCGATGTCTAAAAGAATTTATGTTAAAAAGCCCACTTTGGTATTTATAAAACGTCGAGCCTTGCCCCCTCCACCATCACGGCATGCTTCCTGCACCTCCTCAAATTCTTTTATTTTCAAAACTATTCTTAGGTTAAAGGTTAAAACTTTTTTACTTTTACCATGAATTTTTAATTTATTTTCCAAACCCTAATTTTACCTCATTCATATTCCCTAAACGTCGTAGCTGCACCCCAATCCCATGTCAACTCAATATTCTTCTACCTAGTTGTATCCATATCAGATATGGATACCAATTTGTAGTTAATCAGAAAACCCTTTAATTTTTTAAATTCGGTAATAAGTAAATTGATTTACCCAACCCTTAAAGTATAATTTATCGATGTCTAACCATCATAAAAATGTTAGATGATGAATTTGTTCTATAATGTCGGTTTTTAAGACCACCTTAAATGAAAAATAATTAGTATTTTGTTTAATTTCTGATATTTATTTTAAGCTGTTATGATTCATATTCTTATTTGATGAAACATTTTTTTGAGATTCTTGTTTTGGAAAGACAATCTAGAACAGAAAATTTCTGTTAAAAAGCCCACCTTGGTCTCTATAAAAGTCCAAAATATTACAGCTGAAACCATACCCATTTGCTTGCTCTGCTTTAATAGAACAATTGTAATGAGTATCCAAAATCTCTGTTGCCCTTGTGAATTTTTTCTACAAATTGTAGCACACTGTTACATTTTCCCCCCTCAAATAGCAGAGAGTAGGTTTTATTTACACGCATACTTTACACTGCCAGTTCAGAATTTGGTTTTCGAATATTTAAATTCTGAACATGTTTTTGGTGTATGTTAGTCAAATAACAAGTCAGAACTTATTAATCTAAAATCATATTGTCTCCAAGATGCCTCTTGTCTCCTTCATTATCTTCATAAACAAGAGTATATTCTCAACTTCCAACTTTCTCTTCTCTTCCTCTTCCTTGTTTTGAATTCCACCAGCACTAGAATATCTTTTTTCCAGAACAACAATGGGAAGAGGGAGTATGAGATAACTTCATGTCTGCAACAAGTTTTATCATCACAAAATAACGAAAAGAAAAATATGAAAAGTCAGTTGGTATGAAAGACCACTTAGAAATTTGACTTTCAAGAAATTCTAAGGAGCAAAAGGATTGACATAAGTTAATGTCTATTCAACTGTTAAAGATTGAAATTTATGCTTTGTTTGTATAAGCATCTTGTAAGATCTTTTTGATTGACATAGGAATTTATTCCTTGTAAGTTATAACATTATAGGTGTTCATGGAGAAGTCAAAAAAGAGAGCTTGTAACGAAGTTGGTTGAGATTGAAAAGTTTATCCAAATCACTCTTTTCCTTAGGAGTTAACATTGTACTTTAAATTCAATAATATGTTTACTAGTTGGTCAAAAGATGTACCTAACACAAAGATAATGATTAACTTTCATTCTCAAAGAAAAAATCTCCATATTCAAACAAATGTTTCAACAACAAATGTGATTAAATTGACTACATGCACACAACTATACAACAGGCCAAGAGAGTGATACCCTGCAAAGAGACTTCTAAACATCTCATCAACAACATCAAGAACAGAGGAAAGTTTTCATAGTTATCATAAGCATTGATTTCCAATTTCTCCCTATAGGAACACCATCCATATTGATCTTCACAAACAAGATTGTGGCTCAGTGGTGAGTAGGTTTTGTGCTGGGAATGTTGTCCAGAACATGTTGACATTCTAGCTTAGAAGAGCTCCAATTTGAAATGTTCTTCTAGAAGGAACGAATTGGAGGCTAACCTGCTACTGGACCTGAAGCAGTTATGATTTTGGTGGGTCCATACACAAAAAAGTTAGCCATGAAAATGAGAAGTATTACAGTATCAGCACAAATCACACAGTAGTCATTAAATTTCTGGTATTAAGTGCTTCTAAGTATTCAATTAAACATGCTAAGATACACTTTAATTTGAACTTTTTGTTAGAATATATGACGAAGATAACCTTAGAAATATATGGTACTAGCTTAAATCTTTAGATTTTGTAAGCATAATCTCCATGAACAAACCTATGAAGTCATGAACAATATAAGAAAACCATACACAAGTAGCAAATTAAGAATAGAAAATAAACCTGATCTATGGTACCTGCACTACTACATGGATCATCTAGTTGTGTGTTAAATCGAATCCAATCTGCACCCACCATTTTCATCAAGGTGTTTTGCCTTGACCTTGAATAAGAGAAATTTAATCTCTTAGTTCAATTATATTGTTAACTTTGCAAAAAAAGAAAATTTGATTGAGTTTCATATGTGACACAATAATTTTCTTTATTCTAAGACCTGTGACAGAAGTTAACTTCTACAAAAACATAAGTATATAGCAATTTACATTGTTAGTTGAGTTGTTCATATATTTTTATTCTTCATAACATGGAACACAGATATTATAGGAAGTTAGGATGATCAAGATCTTATAATTTCAGAAGTTATGATGCACATATTCAATACTTGGGCCACCAGTAGGTATTATAAGCTTTGCATGGACATGATACATGTATTACAAGCTATATTTCCACAATTAGATACAGTATAGGTACTAGTTTTTAAAAAGATACCTTTTTCTTGTCTTCTACATAAGTTTTTACACAAATATAAAAGAAAGATGGATCAGATTCATCAATGCAAATGACAACTTGAATAATTTTGAAAAGTGGCTCCATAAGGACATAACACACATTTCTCCCTTGTAGCAGTTTTTTGTTCCTTCTTCTGAACTACAAAACATAAATTTGGAACCATTTTATGAGAAAACCTTTTAGAGTTATGTTAAATAACTGGCATATCTAGTTAATTTATATTGAGATAAAATTAAAGTAACCTACAGGGTCTTGTACCAACCACCAGCTGATGACATTTGGGGGTGATAAGTCCTTTGTTCATCCAGTAGCTTCAACTCCATCAACAATCAATATCATAGGACATGCCATCCTAAAAGGTGTTTTATTGTTGGGAATCCAAGTGTGAGTCCAAGTCCCACATTGGATAGAAATGAGAAAGTAGAGCAGTATATAAAGATGAAAGACCTATTAACTCATTACCTTAAGGTTTTGGGTAGAGAGTGGTGTCCATCCCTTATATAATTGGCTCAGATGTCATTAGTGTTTGTGTAACCCACAGGGAACCTCCTCCTCGATATACCCAACATTTATAAGATAAAATATTTGTTGCTGAAATAAGAATAAATAATAGGGTGTTATGAGAATTAAGGAAATTCAGTAGAGGCTAAGTAATATTTCTCTTTAAGTACTTTGATGTAGTCATGTCTCTTATTTTTGGCAATCCTAAAGTTCATTATGAAATTTGAAAAAAGTGGAAATTTTCAAGTTGAACTAATTTTCTCACCCCATTAGATATATCAGTATGATAGGTAGAATCTAATTCATGAATGTGGTTCCAAAAAAATAAAGAATACATAGATGTTTGGATTGGAGCAAAAAAGTGCTGCTTGTAAGACTATATGAGGAAGATCAGAAAGTACACTTAAGATCTAGTAGAATGAGAATAGAAACAATAAACTTAAAATGTGTATACCATTTTGGTCTCTGAAGAATTGGATTACACATAAAATTAGCAATTTTATTTCTTAAAGATAAAAAACTTATAATAACTTCAATTAAAACTCTACATTAATTTAGAAGGTGAAAAGGACTACATTGATTGACATTTGCATAAATAGGGTTAAAAGTTATGATTCTGTTTACATTATTGACAATTAATAAAGGGAAACAACACCAGGAAATCTGAATGCAAGATCAAAGAATCTTGGTAAGGAATGAGGTACCTGAGAGTGTTGCTTTCAAAGCAAGGCTCATTCTCCAATTCATCATATTACATTGGCTCTTAAGCATCAAAGAACTCATCTGAATCATTCATGTCCGTTAAACTTGTACAGTTAGAAATATCTTTCGCTGCTTTATCTTCCATTACATGTTTCATGACCCTCTTGTTATCCTTTGTAACTTCATTCTTAGTATTAACTTTCATTGCAATAGGTTCAGAGGAACTATTTCCATCTTTGGCCTTAAAATATTCTCTAAGTGCTGCAAGTGGTGAAAATACTAAGACTAAGGAAGGGTTTAATATAAAATCCTTATGCAGAAAGATTAAGTATAAACTAATATATCTATAATTTCTATCATACTTCAAGGTTTAAAATAATCATGTTGTTTTTGTAAGTGAAACTCATTTAGAAATTAGTCCTTATACAACTTCATTAGTACACAATGTTGGATAAACTTAAATTTGGGGTAGCTTAGTAATTTCATTTGTCATAGTTTATTTGGCCATGTTACCGTTTTTATTTATTGTCACAATCTGTTCTGATTTGATTCTGTCATTATTACTGATTTTACGCTCAAAACATTAGAGTTACTGTATTTATCTTCATTCCTGAAGCTATTTAAGGCCTATGATATTCATCAATGAAATACACAAAATTACAAAGTCCAATTATATGTTGTGTGTGCCGTCTTCTATTTTACACACAAGAGTCATTTTTATTAATGTTTTTGTTAATACATGATTGATACAAAATGCTTTAAAGCCCAAATGATTATTATATTAACCATATTAAACAAACCTGCAAGTCTCTCAAGCAAAGAAATGGTCAGGGGTGTAGCAGCAGATGAAGGGCATGGATACCATTTCCGGAACTTCCAATCAATAGCAAGCATGTGTTTCACAAGTGACGCCTTTCCATTTTTGGCAGGAGTTATCAGAAATCCTCCACCTGTAAAGCACTGTGATTACAATCATTGTTGCATTTGTCTATAATTTTGTATCATTTGAATAGTAATAAGGCAATCACATTGCATTACTTTGAAGGGATGCACGAACATAGTCTCTTTGTGGTAGACAAGTCTTGTGATGAACAGAATGGAATGACAGAACTGTTACAGAACCAAAGAAAAAGATGAAAAAGTAGTTGATTGATAATATAAATGAATTAGAACTTCACATATAGTATGGATTTTACTTCAAAATATGTACCATATGTGTCATCATTCTCTCTTCTCCAATATCTTTGCAACACAAAATCTCGTGGTTTCATTCCCCTATAAATGAGATGAATCAGTAACAAGTATGCTTGAACCAATTGTCTGTGCAACAAAGTTTCACATATTGATTACCTAGGTAACCGATCATTGTACAACTTCACATGAATTATATCAGTATGATCATCAATGTGATCTATCACACTACCTTGGTGTGTACAGAAGTCCCATCTGCAAAACACTAGGTAAATTCATCATCTGAAGTGGAATTAGAAAAATCTATATTCAAGGAAGTACCAATGATTTATTATGAATAGAGTGTTGATAGACATACACCACAAAAGTTGCATACACCAACTTGACTCCACTTATATAAACTTTAACCAACAATTGTACTAATTTAACTAAAACATTTTACTGGTTTAACCAAAGTGTTATGATCTTGATTGAGGATAGCATGTGTCTCTATCATGTTCACTCACTCCTTTAGAATTGCACCAGGCCTAGTAATTCTCACATACTGCTTTCATGTGATACAATTAGCACAATGTCGCAGTTGAGACCCTTAACCAAAAAATTGAATTATTTAACCAACTATTTCAACTTGTTTAGCCAATCAAGTTGGGTCCACATATTGGTTATGTAGTGTTTGAATGTATTACAATTGACATATTGGTTCAGACATGAATGTAATCAATAATTGAATTAATTTAACTAATGTGTTGTGGTCAAATAAATAAATACCAGATGGAGGTGTAGAATGAGTATACACCACATGGAGGCGTACATTTATCAATTTTTTTATGAATATTGCTTCTCTTGAAAGTTCATAAACTTCTTACTAGTCAGTACTAGCTGGATATGAATCTTAATATGGAAAACAAGACCAAGGTTACCACTTTGTGCAACAAAATTGCATGTCTGAAATTGTATTTGTCTTCCTTTTGCAAACACAAAGAAGATATGGCAACTAAACCAAAAGAAAAATTTAAAATTTCTCATCTGGGTGTCAAGGTAATGACTAATCATATAGCATAATCACTTTTTGCATTGAGAAAATTTAAAATTTAAAGGGTTCACTCACATTATAGTTTTCCAAATACTTTTTTCTTTATTCCACCCAGTATTGCTAGCATTCCTTAAATTACTTACTCTGATCTTGAGGGCCGTAGAGACATAAGAGTTTGGAAAATGTCTTCTGAAGTTCCCTCAATCACACTCACTGCCATCATTACTGGGTGATATCCCGAATTCTGAATACAACAAACTTTAGACAAAGAAACCAAAAATCAAACTGAAATTATAATGGTAGGAGGAACTAACTCTTCCATGGAAACCCCAATCTGGTGCTTCTTTGAAGATCCTTAGTCCTACACAAGCAGTGAACTTTGAGATAACAGAAGAAGCTACTTGCTACTGATACACAATGATAGCTCTAAGAACTAAAAGCTTTACCATTGTGGCAACTATAAATCTTCCATGGTGATGGAGCAATAACATCAGAGATCATTGCTTCATTGTATATGCATGACTGAAAATTCCATTCAATAGATTGTTTCCACTTTTTCTCTTTTGAGCCTCCCATTCTATTTCAACAAAACTTTAGGTATGCGAACATAACAGTATAAAAAAAAGTGAAAAAAAGAAAGTAACGAATACTTTGTAAATTAAAGCATTTCTTTTCTACACTGTTATTTAATCACAAACCTGGTATGCAAGTCTATTAATAACTTTTTTACTAATGAATTTTAAATTTGATTCAGTCTTATAAAACCAATTTGAGATTCGTACTCATATATTTTCATTCCGTGTGTAATCTCCAACATTTTACAAGAATTTTAATCTTGTATGGTAGACAGTGAAAAAGTTTTCAACTGAGAGAGTGTATAGTTCTTAAACTCAAAAATAAAATGTCCATATATATAAAAAAAATGTTGTATACGTGGTGATACTCTTCTTAACAGATTACAAATTTCACATTCTCATATAGAAAAAAAGAAAGTGGTTTACCTCAATGATGAATGTTTTTTCTTGGAAGAAACAAGAAAATTCATTTCCAGATTTGAATTCTCCTAAAAAAAGTAGCATCAGCTTCTGAGGAAAAACATACATTTATTCAAAAATTAATCAGAACCTTCAATTGAGCATCCTTCAATGAATGTATCCATTTGGCAGCTTCTTCTGAACTACTTGCTCCCAACTAAACATTTGAACAATTTGAGTACAACCATTTCAAAAACTTGTTCTTATATATGTATTTATTAAAATTAGTTTGCCACTTAATTCTCACACACCTTAACTTGATCTCTTTGATTTAAAGCACTATGCATTGTGAAGGTGAAGAATACCTACACAAAGTAAAACAAATTTATATCCATTCAATTAGTGTTAAAAGGAACTAGGAAAACTTGTTAAAACATTGAGATTATATTACTAAAACAATAAAATATCAAAAAATTGTAACAATGTATTCTTTATCACTTTCTTTTTGTTTGCAATTTATTATTATTGGTTGAAAAGTTTTAAAATGATTCAGGAGTGATGCATTTTTATTACAAAGTGTATATCAAAGTATAGTACGTAGTTCACTTTAAAGTAAAACTTCAAATTAATATCCTTACCTTTTTGTTGATAGTTTCTCTTCCATTATCAATAACCCGAACGTTAGAGTCAATTATTGTACTTCTATTTGGCTCCTGAAAAAATAATGCTTTTATTGTCATTCAACTAAAACAATTTACATATTATTTCAAAAGATATGTGCTTATTTCAAAAGATATGTTCTTAATAACCCAAACAAAAAGTGTGTAAAATAAAGTGACATGGGAAACTAACATTTTCCCACACCATAAGTATTTTTTCCACAAGAAATTATCATGTTCAAGATAGGAAAAAACATATGCATGATATCATACAAATGAACATTAAAGAGAGCACCTTCATCTGGGACATAGGCTTGGCTTTGAAGCTTCTAAGAAAACTTTCTTTGAGGATGAAGTATCTCTTGTGTGAGCAACAGAACCCTAACCTATTGAAGGTTAAAATACAGAGCCACCCCTCCATTGCACCCTTACTATAAGGGAAATATTGTGAAAAATCAATGAATTGGACTTCGTTTAATTCCTTGCAGATTTTCCACTGTGATTGATATTTATATATATATACACACACATACATGTATATCATATACATATATAAATGAATATCAAAGATTTCAATTACACTTTTATTACTCACAAACTTTTCAAAAGAATTATGATTGATGTTCATATACGTCTAACAAATGCAAAAGAGGAGATAAAGAAGACGTAACGTAATCCTCTGATTCCAAATGGAATCAGAGAATCGAACAAGAAATCACAATGCAGAAATGAAAATTTGTGATAATGATACCAATAAATGAGAGTAGGTTTTCTATTCATGTTTAATCTTATAGTTAAAGTATTACTACGCGTGGGTGTTACAATCATCATGTGATGGTAAACATGGATCCATTATTTTTGATCTTTTTTACTTGATTTTTTTAATTAAATTTCCTTTTTTTTTAACTTTTATTGGGAAAACACTTTACTAATACAAATTAATAAGTTAATATGATGTTCGCATATTTAAACATTAATTGTATACAAAATATAATATAATGTTGATATAGATAAAAAGTTAAATGTTAAATATAAATCCTAGTGAAAAACTATATTTTAGTGACTATTTATATCGGTTATAATTTACCAGGTATTAAAAATGATCGGGTGTCAAGAGTGAAATTAAGATAATATTTTTTATACATGTTGTAGTTATAAGAAATATAGAAAGTGGACGCGATGACATTTTTTTAATAAAGAAAAAAAATGTATACCGATTATAGTTATAACCGATATAAAAAGTATATATAGTGACATTTTTGTAATAAATAAGAAAACTTCTTATACCGATTCTAATTATAGCAATTATAAAAAGTTGATGCAGTGATATTTTTGTAACAAACAACAAAACTTTCTATACTGATTTTAATTATAACCAATATAGAAAGTGATTTCTTATTTTTTTTTCTTATTTGTAAAGAGAGGGTTTCCAAATCTCTAACCCTTGTTATTCTTTTTTTCATTTTGCGTTATTGTCTCCTTCTCCTTCGTCATCTAACACATTATGAACCAGATTTGAATAGAAGGCGGTAATAAAAGTTATGCCTTGTTTCTCTTACCAAGAGGGGGATGGTGAATTGGTTTTCAATAAAAATAATTTCTTTTGCTATCCTTTTGGAATCTTTAGAATGATCTTTTAAGCTCACAATACAATTATGAGAATAATGCACTAAAGACTTAAAGGATAGAAAACAAACACAATCTTTTTATCTTGGTTCGGTCTCAATGCCTACATCTAGTCTCTTCCAATCAACCTTAGATTGAAAGACTTTCCACTATAAAGATTTGAGTTTTTACAACAAGGCTTTACAAAGAACACCTCTAAAATGTAATCTCCTCTCTAACTTACAAATCTAATATAGCAAAACACACCTGCAAAAAGAACAATCTTCTTCCCTACAGTACCCCTTTGAGACCCTTCTCAAAGTCACAAGAACACAATGTTCTTCTTCTTGGCAACACGCATAGGGAACCACAATCTCTTTATTGTAAAACGAAGTTTGATAAGGAAAGAAAACACCTAAATTGTGCAGTAGTTGATCAGCCAGCAAAACGTTCAAATCTATCCTTCAAGAATCCTTCAAGAATATCAACTTCTTCGTATCTTGATTCATGGAGCGACTCAGTGCACTTGCAAATTCTTTCTTAACACTCTGATATTAGATATGAAATTTCTTCATATGATCAAAGTCGTAAAAGTCTCTTTAATGCAGAGCGCAACATGTCATTATATAGCTTTACCGATTAATCGGTTACACTTATAACATAGTTATACCAGGATTACATTACAACAAATTTAACTGATTAAGCAAATAATGTAATCGATTGCATGTTAACAATAAGTCGAAATATTTGAAAATATGATCGTTATTATAGTTAAGACTTAGCTTGAAAAAAATTTCAAAGTATACCAGACTTAATTGATTACATAAATAGTGTAATCGGTTAAGTTTTTCACTTAGCCAATTTTGAAAACTTTTTTTTTTCCTAAAAAACTCATCACTGCACATTGCAAGTAGGTGTTAGGAAAGGCACGAGTTTTAATAGATTATACATATAACATAATCGGTTAAAACTTGTTGTTTGCCACAGTTTAAGCATAAGTTATTTGATGAACTTAATTGATTAAATAACTACTGTAATCGATTACTTCATACATATTTGCTTAGTTCAAGTGGTTTTAACATATGAAAACATTGATATGCATACAACAGATGTAAACACATGTATGACCATAATGAGTATGCAGACCAAATAGTTTAGCAACATATGTATCAAACTATAAAGAAACATTTCTATTGGTGTCATAGAAACATATATGTGTTGTCATCATAAAAAGCTAAACACATGAGGGATTGGGTCTAGCATTCACATTGCTCCCCCTATCAACAATCTCCTCCTTTTTTGATGATGCATAACCATGATGTAAAACACAACCATGATGCACAACCAGAATGGTTCTATCAGTTATTTCTAGTTACAACAATATCTAATTTCTGAAACATCATTAATTTCTCCCCCTTTTACTAACATTACTAATTTCTCCCCCTTTTACTAACATTACTAATTTCTCCCCCTTTAGGTATTAGCAAAAAAGATATCAGGAATTAGAAACAAAATAGCATCCAGAAATACATCAATATGTGATTTTACAGATTAAGATCAGAAATAGATGCTCCCCTTATCATTATGTAGTATCTCTAATTTCACTAATTTCTTCCTTTATCAATCAGTATCAGAGCCAACAGTAATGAGTATTTTAGATATGCAACATATTAAGAACAACAAATTCATATTTAACCATGTAGTAGATATAATAACATGTATTAGAGTAACATGTATTTTAGTTTGCAACTTTCAACAATACTCAAAAGGATTAATAACGGATATGATATTTTGAGTATGAGAAGGCATGAAGGCATATGTAATCAGAATGAATGTGATAGAATAGATGATTCAGTATTATAGAAACTCAAACTACATTCACGAATATTAATCGATTTCACTGCTTTTGCAATCGATTAAATTTTTCAGATCAACTCAGTCCATTTCAGATCAATGCAAATTCATATGAGCATATTTCATTTTCAGTAACAGACTTGCAAGTCACATTCTTTTCATCTTTGTTGAGTGTTAGTACAAATATAGAGTACAATTGTGAAATGATAAAGTCATTAATTGAGTATGAGTATGCAAAGAAAATGTATGACAGTGAATAAACATAGTTTTGCACTCATACAACATATACACTCAATGTTATTTTATGCAGTTTTGATCAAGTATTCCCAATTCATTCCTTATAGTATAAAATCTTTCTTTATTCAGAGGCTTTGTAAAAATATCAGCTCATTGATGTAAAGTATTCACATATTCAATTTTGATTTCTCCTTTCAAAATGTGATCCCTTATAAAGTGATGCCTTCTTTCAATGTGCTTGGTTTTGGAATGAAGTATAAGATTTTTTGTTAAATTTATGGCACTTGTGTTATCACATTTCAAAGGTATATGATTTAAAAGTATGTCATGGTCTTCTACTTGGCTCTTGATCTAAAGAGACTGAGCACAACAACTTCCTGCTGCAATGTACTCAGCTTCTGTGGTGGACAATGCCACACAAGCATGTTTCTTTGATGCTAAGACACTAGAGAACAACCTAGAAGGTGGCATATGCCACTAGTGCTTTTCCTATCTAGTTTGCAACCACCAAAGTCAGAATCATTATAACCTTCTAGAAAAAGATTTGCCCCATTAGGATACCATAATCCAAGATTCCTATTTCCTTTTAGGTATTTTAAAATCTCTTTTATAATAGTAAGGTGTGATTCTTTTGGATTTGATTGAAACCTAGCACATAGGCAAACACTATGTATTATGTCAGGACGATTGGCAGTGAGATAGAGTAAGGAACCAATCATACCTCTGTATAGTTTTTGATCGAAAAAATTACCATTCTCATCCAGGTCTAGATAACAATTTGTTGCCATTGTTGTGGCTGCTTCTTTGCACTCGCTCATTTTGAATTTCTTCAGTAGATCAATGCAATATTTTGACTGATGTATGAAGATGCCATTCTCACCTTGTTTGACTTGTAGTCCAAGAAAGTAGGTTAGTTCTCCCATCATAGACATTTCAAACTCATCCTGCATAGTCTTTGAAAACTCCTTGCATAGAAATTGATTAGTATAACCAAAGATAATATCATCAACATATATTTGCACATATAATTGATCCTTTCTAGATTTTTTAATGAAGAGAGTTGAGTCATCTTTACCCCATAGGAAGCCCTTTTTGATTAGAAATTCACTCAATCTCTCATACCATGAACTTGGTGTTTGCTTCAATCCATACAAAACCTTTTTTNCTTCTTTGCACTCGCTCATTTTGAATTTCTTCAATAGATCAATGCAATATTTTGACTGATGTATGAAGATGCCATTCTCACCTTGTTTGACTTGTAGTCCAAGAAAGTAGGTTAGTTCTCCCATCATAGACATTTCAAACTCATCCTGCATAGTCTTTGAAAACTCCTTGCATAGAAATTGATTAGTATAACCAAAGATAATATCATCAACATATATTTGCACATATAATTGATCCTTTCTAGATTTTTTAATGAAGAGAGTTGAGTCATCTTTACCCCATAGGAAGCCCTTTTTGATTAGAAATTCACTCAATCTCTCATACCATGAACTTGGTGTTTGCTTCAATCCATACAAAACTTTTTTTAGCTTGAACACATGATCTGGAAATTCAAAATCCTAGAAGCTAGGGGGCTGTTCTACGAATACTTCTTCCTTGATGTAACCATTTAGGAAGTCACTTTTCACATCCATCCGGTATAACTTGAACTTCATCATAAATGCAATAACAAGGAGAATTCTGATAGCTTCCAATCTAGCCATAGGAGCATAAGTCTCATCG